CCCGGAGGAGGCGGGAGCATGGACGCGGCGGCGGTTGCAGGGCGCGGTGGCGGCGGCTGGAGGTTGGGGGAGGACCCGACAGGTGGGCCCCACCTGTCGGCGACCCCGGGAGAGAGGAGGGCTCGGGTGGCCGGCTCAGCTGGGCCTCGGCCTTCGGTCGGCCCAGCGGGAAGGAGAGAGAGGAGAGAATGGGCCGGCGGCCCATTCCGAAAAGAAAAAGAGGAAAAAAGAAAAAAAGAGAAAAAGGAGGAAAAGAATTTCCAGGGAATTAAATAATGCTTGTGCTCCTTTTTAATTGGTTAAAATTATTTCTAGAGCTCTGAAAATTCCAATAAAAATCTTGTTAGCATATTTCGACATGTAGAACTCAAGAAAAATCCCACATGCCAATTCCGATTATTATTAGCATTAATATATTAGGGTTTCTCTTGCTTTGACTCCGGTATTTTCTCAAGGTGATTTATAAATTCAATTTAGGCTTGGGGAAAGAACTTCAGGGTGTGACATTTTCACCCTGGTTTTCTCCAACATGGTGGCTGAGTCAGTGTGGGACCCACGTGGGCCCCACATGCAAGGATACCACGTTAGCACTCTTTCTCTTCCCCTCCTCTCCCTTCCTCCTCCTCCTCCTCCTCCTCTCTCTCTCTCTCTCTTTCTCTCTCTCTCTCTCCCTCTCTCTCTCTCTCTTCTCCTCTCTGGGCAAGTCAGCCGGCAGGTGGGAAAGAGGTCCAGCGGCCGGCAACGTGGGAGGAGGGGAAAGCGACGGCGGCGGGAGCACGGGGGACAGCAAAGAGAACGGTGGGAGCACATCATCACCATCTTCGTCCCACAGGGAGCTCGTGGATCTGGAGCCAGCGCCTGCACCGGTGAGTGCGGTGGTGGAAGGTGGGGAGAGGAGCATGGTGGCCGACGGCGGCCAGCCACACGATTGCCTGAGGACCCCTCCCATCCTCCTCCTCGCCAACTAGCCTATGGTGGCAGCGGCAGTAGCCTACCTCGATGGCATACACAAGGGGATCCGCGCCCATGGACGATGGCAGCGGTGCATCCCCATTGTCCTCACTCTCCCCGCCAGTGCTCTTGCCACCGACGCCCTCCCCTTCTCCCACCTCGCTGCTGCCGCCTCCCCCACGTCGTCGGCCGCCAAACCTCCTATCTTGCATCGCTGACAATCAGCCTCTTCCCCACCCGTCAGCTGCCCTGTCCAAACGAGAAGAGTGAGAGAGAGAGAGAGAAAGAGAGGAGAAAGGGACACTCTGACCTCGGCACGGCAGCCTCCCCTCCCGCGTCGCAGCCACCGCCATCATCGCCTCATCGCCCGCCACCTCCTCCTCTCCTGGCTTGTCCCGGCGACCTCTTCCCCACCTACCGGCCTGCTTGCCTAGAGAGGAGAAAAGTGAGAGAGAGAGAGAGAGAGGAGGAGGAGGAGGAGGAGGAAGGGAGAGGAGGGGGAAGAGAAAGGGTGTTGACGTGGCATCCTGACATGTGGGGCCCACGTGGGTCCTATGCTGACTCAGCCGCCAAGTCGGACGAAATCGGTGTTAAAACCACCGAAGAACTTAAAGTGAATGGTTTTGTACGTTAGGGATGTCAAATAATCTAGTTTTACGACTGGGGGACAATTTTGTAGCTCAATGACAAGTTAAGGGACCTTCGGTGTACTTTTTTGAAAGGAAAAAGGAACAAGTTAAGGGAACTAATTTAAACTTATAGAGTTTAAAAGGATTAGGGTTTGGGTCTTGTTGGGCTAGGCCAGTCCAATGAAGGATCGAAATTATACTTTTGCTGAAAAGCTTATTTCTTAAAAGATTTAGTTAAAAGAAGGTTTTAGTAACTAGTTATTGTTTGATTTTATTGCAAAGTATTTTCTTAATCTATGTTAATTTATACTCATGGTTATTTTAATGTGTTTGAATTTTATTCCTTTTTAAATTATCCTTTGGAATTATTTATTATTTTTTTTTGCACCGGCACAACCAGGAAAAGAAAAAGGAAATTTAATAAATATTAGCATGACGAAATTTTGGAAAAAGTTTTTAATTATTTCAAATTTTCGCTTTCATATTTTAGAATCGAAATTTTCAAGGTGTTAGGGCGGATGGGAGCGTGGATCTTTTGTCAGCAACATGATGTAGAAGAACTCAATAATGTTTGTCGCTGGTTGAAGATGTATAGTGGGCTAGTGGCTAGTCAGATTGCAACAAATACTAAAAAAAAAAAAAGAAAACGTGGACCTATGGTGTGGATTAGCGGCATAGTATGATGAGCAGAGGGAGACGGTTGGGTTTTGGGTTGGCGAATGGTTGGGTTTTGGTCAAATCAGGTTTTGAAGCAAAATAGTGAGGGTTCAATTTGGTTTTTGGATGGATTAAGATAATCTCATTTAGCGTAACTATTTTTAGACATTTTGCAGACTATTTTTGTTTTAATCTATGTTGCAAACGCTATTATTACATTCCAAAGATATAGAACAAATCGAAGAGATGCGAGAAGAGAAAATATTATTGTTCCGGTCTTCCTAATGCGCGATCGATCGCCCGCGCCGCGCCGAGGGCGCGCGATCGGGAAAGCCCGCATCCTCTCCCCTTCCCCCTCTCTTCTTCTCTTCCTACTACACCATAAATTTTTTAAAAAATAAGAAAACATAAGTTAGAAAAATTTTTTTAATACTCTTATTTATGTTCATAGACTCTATACTTATGTATAGATAAGTATAGACTTTATACCGTAAACTTAGTACATATAAACTTTATGCATAGAAATACTATATATAAAAAATATTTGAATTCAAATTCAAATTTGAATTGGGTATGTAAACTTTTGACTTATAAACTTTGGATCTATAAACTTTAGGTATATAAACTTCAGACGTATAAACTTTAGGTGCACAAATTTTAGATGTATAAACTTACTAAAATAGGAAAGTAAAGCGGTGCTAACAAGGGAAACTGCGTGGGGGGAGGGAAACTGATCGCCTGGGGCAATCGATCACGCGATATGTTTTTCATGTTCCAAATCCCCTGACTGCAGCTTGGTATAATAGCAATGGCCGTCAGGTAGGTTTGAAATCAACGTCACGTCGGGGAAGATGATAATTATGGATATATGCTACAAAACTCAAAATATGATGTCATAACTCGAGGAGATAACTACGCGTCGGACGTCCGAGGAATAGCGAAAAATCGGACGCCCATGCACTAGTCTTTCTGTCTCTATGGTCTATGCCGCATGCAAATGCGCTTTCTAGCTGTCTCTAGTTATAGGTCTCTGCTCTCTCTGCAGCATGCAGTCATGCATACACACTATCACAGTTGCTCTCTCTTCCCTCATGCAGTATGAAAATCTACTAACTCTAAACTATTTTTTATCCTAAAATATTTATCCGATGCATGATCCGATTATATCACTATATTTATCGCAATTAAATCTTTAAAACAAGACCACACGTGGATATATTCCAACGAATTTTTTTAAGCTTATTATTGATTTTCTTTTGAAATGTTGCACAATGTTCCACTAAGTATATCGAGATTGTTTCACTAAGTAGATCGAAAATGTTTCAATCGTTTAAATCGGACGTTCTTTCACCTTACATGAAAACAATGTTTCAGCAAATAGCGAAAGAATGTTTCAGTTCACTGCAACATTAGATCTATACATAGTGAAACATTGTGAGTACACTAGGTGAAACATTTTTTGTGGAACAAAAAATGAAACGAATTCCCTTAATAGAGGGTTTCCAAAATATGTGGGTGATTTGTTGCAAAAGAATATTTCGGTTCTCTGCAATATTAGATATATACATAGTGAAACATTGTGAGTACACTAGGTGAAACATTTTTTTTGGAAAAAAAATAAAACGAATTCCCTTAATAGAGAGTTTCCAAAATATATGGGTAATTTGTTGCAACGGAGTATGTGGTGGAGACACGTAGTAGGTAGTCAGTGACACATCGTGGGGCCCAGGGCGCACGTGCGCACGCGCGTCATGGGGGGAGGGGGGAGCGACCGATTTTTCCCCTCCCTCGGCGACCGAGGCGTAGGATAATCGAATACTTATTGAAATATATAAATAAAATAATGTGAAAAACTTAAAAAACATTTATTGCAAAAAAAAATAAAAATAAAATATTTCGATCAGAATATAGTCATGTGATATCTTATTATACAGATTTAATTAAAATGAATTAATGGTGTAATCGAATCACAAATTTGATAGATGATTATTGGAAAAAAACATTTAAAGCTTATTAAAAAAAATGCATGCATGTGTAGGGGAGAGAGGGCAAGAGTAGTATGTGTGCTATCTTATGTGAGAGAAAGGTTTTGGTATTGAAAAAGAGACAATATGCATGTTGGCTCATAATCTGAAAAAAGAGTTGTACGGTGCGTCCATCGTCCAAGTGTCCGATAGTTTGCGCTGGATCGGTCGTCCGATCGTAAGCATTTTCGATAACTCGATGATGGCTCCAGAGCGGAGGCAGTGAAGTAAAGCTTGAATAGACGACGGGATACATAACAACTTATTTTGAAAACTTTTTGTTCATACATTTCAACCTTTTATTTTGGATAGGCGACATGATGCATATGCAAAAAAAAAATTATTCATGGATAGGTCCACTTCTTTTTGACTTAGTAATGTATATGATCTCAATCCGAAAACTATGGGCAAATCAGTCCTCCAAAGAAAAACAAAAAGAAAAAAGAAACAAAATGGGAAAAACATTTTGGGCCTATTCAGATTCATGCCATTTTAAATTATACCATTGTTTGGTAAAATCGACAAAATTTAAGGCGGTGTTTAGTTTATTACGATATATTGGTCATGTCTAAAGAATTTGACAATATCATATTTAATCTATAATTACCAAAACTTGATAATGTAACGATGCCTAATTTTAAAAAGGTTAAAAATAGGTATATATATTATTTTTCCTTTTAACTTTCCATCGCCAAGCCGGAGGAGGACAAACCCAGCGTGGCGCGGGCGCTGCTCCTGCCTCCCACAGTCCCATGGCCATCCAGACCCAGACCCACCCGAGACCACCACCATTATCTGTATCTTCCACCACCTCCCCTCTCCTCCTCCCGCACAGCGCACACCTCGCCTCTCCTCTCCGGTCTCCAACTCTCCGCTGCCAGCGCCACCACCAACAAACCCTAATTTATTCCCCTCCACCGCATCTAACACGCTAGCGCAGCCAGCCACAGCAGCAACGCCTCACTCCTCTCATAAATACAGAGAGGAGAAAAAAACAGCGAGGTCACACGCCTCACATCCCCTCCCCCCCTCATGCGCCGCAAGAAGCACTCGGACCGGGGCGGCGGCGGCGGCGGCGGTGGCACTGAGCTCTTCATCTGCTTCACCTCCCGCCCCTCCACCGCCTCCGCATCCTCTGGCGCGCCCGCCACCCTGCGCCCTTCCAGCTCCTCCAAGCTTCTCAGCCCCGGCCGCACCGGCGGCGGAGCCGGTGCCGTTGCTGGCGCCGACAGCGCGCCGGTTCCGCCGCTCCACCCCTCCCTCAGCCGTCGCCTCCGCAACAGCGGGAGCCTGAAAGGTGGGCAGTCCCCCATGTTCCCCTCGGGGTCCTCCGGCGGCCGCCGCGGCCGGGGCGGGTTCGAGCCAGCCGAGCCCTCGTCGCCCAAGGTCACCTGCATCGGCCAGGTCCGCGTCAAGGGAGGAAAGCGCAAGCCCAAGCACGCCTCCGCCGCCGCGCTGCGCTCGCGGTCCAGGCGCGGGGGTGTCGGCGGCGGCGGTAGCGCGGAGGCCAGCTTCCGCCGCGCCGGAGACGACCGGGACGGTCCTGCGGGGAAGAACCAGGGCTGGGTGTACCAGATCCCAGTCAACATCTGCGAGGCGCTCAAGACATTCGGCTCCTGCGGTGGCCGGTCGCTCTGCTCGCCGTCTCGCGCCGCCGGCGCCGGCGAGCGCGGCTCTCTCTCTGCCGCCGACAAGAAGCGTCGGCGCCCGCCTGCCAGCGGGAGCTGGCTCTGCGGAGCCGCCGTGGCCAGGTGCCTCTTGGCGATCCAGGAGGAGGAAGACGATGAGATCGGCAAGGGAGCAGCCGTCGTGCCGGCCGAGGATGTAAAGGCTTCAGAGGTCGGTCTCGTGATGCAAGGGTGGGACGTGGAGGAGGAGGAGAGCACGGTGGTAGTCGGGGAGGTGGAAGTGGAGAAGAAGGACGAGATCTTGGTGGTTGGGAAGGAGGAGGAAGGGAGGGTCAGCGTCTGCATCCCGCCGCGAAACGCGCTGCTGCTGATGCGCTGCAGGTCGGACCCTGTTCGTATGGCTGCATTAGCCACTCGCTTCTGGGGCTCCCCTGCAGCGGCAAATGTCAGTCAGGTTGACAATGTCAAGGATGAAAACGAAAACGACGACGACGAAGAGGAGGAAGAGGATGAGGAAGACGAAGATGGTGCTGACACAGATAAGGAATGCAAAGAGCAAGCTCGTGATTCAGCGGTTTCCACTAAAGAAGCTGGATGCCGTGAGTGTGATGGTTCCCTACATGATGGTTGTGAAGCAGGACAAGTAGATCCACTGGAGACGGAAGCAGTGGAGACCTCTGAATGCGGAGATCTTGGTGAAGAAGCGAGCGAGTACGGTGACTGCAGAGAGGATGAAGAGAAGATTGAGCCAGAGGAAGCACCAATTGTTCGGAAGGACTCAGTTTTGGAGGTAGCTTTGTCAGGAGAAGCTACAGGGAGGGATATCCAATTGCCGTTGCTGGAGATGGTGGAGACTGTGGCGGAAGCTCAGGAAGAAGTTTCTGTTCCAGGACCTGAGAAAGAGGAGCAAGAGATGAAGGGCAGGAGGTCAAGCAATTGCTGCTCCCCATCGACAGCACTGAAGGAGGACAGGAAACTGCGACGGTTGAGCAGCCGCAGACGGGTAGGTAGCAGTAGTAGGGCCTCATCGGGCAGTGACAGGGTTGGGCGGCGGCACAGCTTCTCAGCCGAGACAGAAGCACGTCGGTCAAGCTTCTCGAGCTTGAAGGACTCAAGGAGAGCTAGTTTCTCCATCGACAGGGATGGCCGCAGATGGAGCTTCTCTATTGAGCAGGAACATCTTGTTGCAGAGCCTAAGGTGCTGATGGGATCCAGAAAGGGCCAGAAAATTTCATCTGAGCCAGAGTCGGAAAAAGATTGCGCTGTTCATGCTGCCCCAAACAGTGCAGAGGAAACTCTTGAATCTCATGACGACGGAAAGGAAGAAGCAACATTGGATGGACAGGAAGAAGGAACAACACAAGAGACACAAGTTGATGAGAAGGGTGAGAAGGTAGAAGTCGGAGGTGTTGAGGCACAAGATGTGGTCGAAGAACAGAAGCAGAGAAGAAAGAAAAGTGGTGAATTGCCAGATTGCCTCCTCTTGATGATGTATGAGCCTAAGCTCTCTATGGAGGTCTCCAAGGAGACATGGGTCTGCAGCACGGACTTCGTCCACTGGAAGTCTTACCAGGGCCAGAACCGCCGCAACCGCCGCCAACAAAAGGCTGGTTGCAATGCCGCTCCAGCGGAGGAGCTCAAGGATACAGACAATGCTGAAGGAACCAGTGATGCTAAGAACACAGAAGAGAGTGTAGCGCCTGCATCAGCAAACTTGGTGTCTATGCCACCTCCGGTTGTGCAGAAATCACCACTCAAAGAAGCTGCGGAGCAGAAGTTCAAGATAGAGCTGCCACTGGTTACTGGCGCTGCAACATATGCACCGTTTGTTCTGAAGCGCTGCAAATCCGAGCCGATGCGATCCTCGGCACGGCTGGCGCCCGATGCCTGCTTCTGGAAGGACCGGCATAGGCCCCTCAATGCCACCGGAGTTGGCTTTTGATTCCAGCCGAACACAACCTCTGGTATGCCTAGTTAGCTAACGAGTGAGTTGAGAGTTTTCAAGCTTTGTCGTGTAATAGTGATGAAGTTCTTTCATGCTTGGTGCTGTTATGTGATGTGGACAAACAAATAATAGCATGTTAAGTTACATCAGATAGATTAGGGAGGAGTATATGTAAATCTCTTGGGGTTGCTTCATGTGTGTGCTAAATTCCTTTTTTCGTTGATGATCATGATGTTGTGCAGTGCAGCTATAGTTCTTTCTTTCCCCCCATCAACATCTGCTTGTTTTTGCCACATGTTAGGTCTTCCTTCAACATTCAGCTTCATCATTCCTTCATTTCCTTGCAAATAAGTTATTGATCCACACTGCCAAGTTGGTAGGTTCACATGGCTTGATTTATAAAAAATGCCATCCAGTCAAACTTTAGTAGCATTGTTGATCCATTACATATTGCACAATTAGATACTTATCCCAATTGGCTGTGAAACTGTGAATGGTGTCGCATCGTCGTTCAATTTCATTCCACCTTTATTCTGCCATGACACTGTCTTGCCGTTTGGGGTTTTTCCCGTTCCTTGCTTGGTCGCGTTATTTCTCAACCGCTTGAAAGTTGTGGTCTGTACAGTTCGTTTCGGGGTTTGTCGTGGCAGGTCCAAACGGACGTGTACGGCAACCGTACAGGACCAAATTGCTGTACGGAGTCGAATAACTCTCCTTTGACGAAGTGTTTGTTCTGCTTAGACCTGGATGTATAGACGGCTGGGATACATGTCATGTCAGCAATCCACGTAAGTAGAATATAAAATCACTTATTAATCAGTTGGATTCTTCCTGCAGCCTGAAGGCGATGATTGACAAATCCTTAGTTATAGACAGGCAAATCCTGGATTGTTTTTCAGGTTAATCATATTGTTGTTATCATTACTATTGTACTCGTATCAACCAAGTGCAGGTCGTCCAATTGGCGCTGGTTCATGAGGGACAAAGACAAACACAACTGGAGTACAGCTCCACTACAACATCCACACGACCTAGCTGGTAGATCAATCAATTAACCGGACAGCAAGCTAGCTTAGCTACAAGGTCGACAGCCACCCTAAAACGCCTCCCAGATCTTGCAGCTTTTGGGTCCCTCCCACCCAGCCGAGTACTAGTAGGGAGCTGCCATCCGCTGCACTAGTGAAAAACTGCTTTTCCGCTGGGTGCAAAGCAAAGCAGTCGCCATTGACTAGCCCCTCCCTGTCTGCCACTTGCAACAGCTAAGCACTCTCATTATCTATGTTTGGATGATGAATCTATCCATGGCCATTGGGTATTTGGGTGTGTGCTGAGCCTGAGCCTGGGCGTCAACACATGTGCTGGGGCGAGGGAGTAGGGCTGGGGCCAGGCATCTCTGAGCCGTAGCTAGGGGTTGGGCCCTGCAGCCTTTTGTTTGGGTCGCAGCGGTGGTTGGGTTCGGGGACGCGGTCTCCTCTGCTTGGGGACGCGACCACCGCTGCATTCCATGGTTGGGTAATGCGCCAGTCCGGATTTGGATGCGGCACGCACTGTACTCTACGGTGGCACGCCACCAGCCACGGTGTGTCTCCCGATTAGGGGTGGCAATTGGAGTTAGAACAAAATGGAGAGTGATATCACTCGCTTGTTTTAATATACTTTTGATTAAATTTAGACTGATATAAGTGTCTGAATTTAGATTGAGGGGTGCATACATGCTAAAGGAACCCCCCTCCTACCTAGCTCCATCGTTTAGTGGGGAGGATAAGAACATCCCTGCTCACTTTTCCCTTCGGGTTGACCAACCCCCGGCCCCGGATGACTGAGTGGGTGAAAATCAGCCCGTGGCGGCGACACCTCTAGGGCCCTGCTATCTTGCATGGAACTAGTCTCCCTCTGATGGCGAGAGGAGCAAGACACGCGGGATGGTGGTGGGTTGATAGCGTGACGTCGAGACAAGTAGGATGCGAGCGTCAAGGTAGCGGTGGCCGGCCAGCACCACCAGAGTTGAGGCAGTGGCTGCTGGGTGGCGACGAGCCAATGGCGTGGCGTCGAGGTGATGTGGCAACGAGCGACGACTAGTGAGGCGGCTTGTGCTGGTGATGAAGGGATGAGGCGGGTGACTTCGAGGTGACGCAGTGATGAGGAAGGTGGGAGGGTGGCATGGTGTGGGGCGCCAGCTAGTGGAGATGAGCCGAGGCAGAGAAGCAGATGTTGGCGTCCTAGCTCCCAGCAACCTTTTTTTCCTATGTGACAAATAAGGATAGGATTGATTTCTTAGGGGCTTGTGGTTGTGAAAGAGTAGAAGAAAGGACTTAGGGTTTGGTTTACTTTATATATGATTCCACCTACTGCTTCAATTGAGGGCATGTTTGGCACAGCTCCAGCTCCAGCTCCACCCCTACTGGAGCTGGAGCTCAGCCAAACAGTTTTAGCTCCACCAAAATTAGGAGTGGAGTTGGGTGGAGCTCTCTCACAAAATGAACTAGAGTTGTGAAGCTGGGTTTAGGCAGTTCTACAACTCCACTCCAGACCCAACTCCTGGAGCTAAATTTAGGAGTTGGAGCTATACCAAACAGGCCCTGAGCTTTCCATCCCTGTCCCCACACCCGAAATTTTGTGGGGCCTCACCACCACTCACCTAAGCCTGCCAGTGGGTTGAGATCCAATTTGAATCCACCCCAGCCCACCTCCTCATGGAATGGCATGCCAAACCAACCCACCCCATTTCCTCTCCTCCAAAATCCAAACCAACCCACCCCGCATCAGATTTCAGTCCAACCCACCCCAAACCATTACACTAAAATGGGTTCAGCCCACTTCACTGGAATGGATTCAATCCATGGATCCCAGCTACACTACAGAGAGCTTGGAGCCAGGAGGCCTCGTTACTTCTTTAGCCATGGATCTCAGCTACAGTATAGAGAGCAGCAGTGTAGACACACGTGCAGACAATTAATTCAAAACAGAAATATTAAAAGAACATCATTGCTTGCTGAAACACTGAAAATTGGGCAAAAACAAGAAAATGAAACAAAAAAAAATACTCAGAATGATACGCATCGCATTGTTTGTTAGCTGATCCAGCACTGAAATGAATACCAGAAGACTAATGATGTCATATAATTACAATTAAGTCAATTGCTCACTACTACAGCAATAATAAGGGCCATAATAAGGTTTATATCTTCAACAAAAACTACCAAAACATCATCTATGCCTTGATCCATATGCAGTTGTAGATAATCTGGAAGAGAAAGAAGCCATCAGAAATTTATATTTCAGAAATAACATTGAATGATTACAAGTTGAATATTATTATTTCTATAAGATATGACTAGCATGAGTTAGTGGACACACTAGTAAGAATGAAGAATGAATCCATCCATCCCCACTATTCAACTAAATATCTATACTACTATATACAACCACAAGGACTTTCAAGAAATGGAAAAAAAAAGAGAGGAAGAAAACAAGGTTGGGGCCTTTTTTGCCCCTCTGGGAGAAGAGAGAGGCCACCTTCCTTGCTTATCCTTCACATACACAATGCTCTCATCTATCTCCTGAACATGCTCTAGCTGCTCAAATAAGAATATATACAAGTAAGGATACAACTAATAGATATAAAAGGCATTGCAAGGTGTTACAAATTCCGCCTAACATTTCACCAACTGATGAACAAAAAACAACATTAAGTTACTGAGCACAGGGACCCCACCATTGTAAAAAAAAAACAGCCATCATACCAAACCTTCTTCACAAAACATCATATGGTCAGTACTCAGTACGAACCTAGATCAAAGAAAATTTGGCACAAATATTAGTAATACTGGTGGGCACTCAGACAAATTAATCTAGATTTTGTGACTAATCAAACAATATAAAATGAAAACACATCTACAATTACTATTTGTATGGCACAGACCACAAAGTCTGAGACGAAATACAAGGCGTGAGATATTATACCTTTAATCCCCTTGTTTTTTGGCTCTATGTAGCCAATCTTTTGCACAAACAAGTGCCTCGAGCATCTCTGGTGTCAATGAGCTTCTTGTGTCTCCAAGAATCCTTCCTCCACTGCTGAAAGCGGACTCTGAGGGCACGGTGCTAAGTGGAATTGCAAGAAAGTCTCGAGCCATAATTGCCAACACAGGAAACTTTTTGGAATTTTTCTTCCACCATGCCAAAACATCAAAATCCTCACTATCATCCTCACATACTTCTTCTAAATATGTATCAATCTCTGACTTCTGAGTATGTGCAACCTTTCGGTTTGACTTGAAGAGGGTGAATTCATGCTCTAGCTTTCTTTTTCCCAAAACAGGTGAGCCTACAACACTAACTCTCTCACTAGACTGTGACATGTAGGATACACCCCTTCTTCTTGCAATTCCTTCATATACATGAAAGTATGATTTCATCTCCTCTATAATAGAGTCCACTTTACTTTCAACATTAGAACCATGGGGAGACACCTTCTCATAAAAGAAATCCAAATAGTCTCTTTTCCTTCTTGGATCTAACACAGTGGTAATGACAAGTGCCAAATTGAAGTTGTTTGCCAATTTTTCATCCCAATATTTTGCAAACTTGGTGTGCATAGGAGCAGCCAATCGTTTTAAAAGATCGCTGGTTTGCCAATCAGGATCACTCAAAGCATGACGGATACAAAGAACATGGGGCAAGAATGTGTGTGCAGTTGGTGTCCTATGAGCTGATACACCTCTAGTAGCCTCTTCAAAAGCCTTAAGAAATTCACAAATTGATTCAGCATGCAACCATTCTTCATTAGTTGGTAGAAGTTCACAATTTTCAGAGGCATAGCTATTGAGGATAGCCTTGTAAGGCAATATTTCTCTAATCATCTTGAAGGTCGAGTTCCAACGGGTTGGTACATCAAGAGTGAAACCAGATTTTGGAGGAAGACTTTTACTAGAAGCAATTGAATTAAACGCTTGAATGCGTGAGGGTGAATGCTCAATGTACTTTAGGATCTCACAGATCTTATCTATTGCTGCACGAATCACCCTCATCCCATCTTGAACCAACAAATTGAGGATGTGTGCACAACACCTCACATGAAAATGTTTGCCTTCCAAAACCAACTCATCCTTGAGAGTTTTCACTAATTCTTGACAAGCAGCGGTGTTGTTACTAGCATTGTCTAAAGTTAAGGTGAACAGTTTGCTACTCAAGCCCCACTCAGTCAAACACCTCATCATGGCTTCTTCAATTGCAAAGCTAGTGTG